GATAAAACACCACCCCTCCCTCCTCTGTATTTCTTAAATATTTACGGTCTTTCGTGCCAGTATTTTTCAGCCTTTGGATCCACAGCATATTTCTTATCGAAAAAATGTTAAAAAATGAAATTTAATTGCCTTTACACAATCTAAGTTCGATCCCATTGAAGTGTCTTGATCAGCTATCTCAATCAAAAAAAAAAAGCATTTTATAATAAAAGAAAATATTCTTATTCACTCAGTGTTAAAACTGGGTCTGTTTTTTATATCATTTACGTGAAATTGGAGACTTCTCATGGCACATAAGATAAAATCTCACGGCAGACTGGCGTGTTGCCGCACAGTGGTCGAAAAATAATGTCCTTAGTCAAAAGAAGTTTTTTATTTTTTTAAAACCAGTGGTTTACAGTTCCCCGTTGCTGCAGTTGCTCTTGTCAAGAGTAGAATTATAAAACTTTATAAAAAAATTTCCAGCACTTAAGTTTGTTTTGTGGTGTTGTAAATTTTCCTTAGAATAACCCCTGAAATCAATTCTTAATATAATGTATTGTTTTTCGTCATTTTGCTTTGTTCCTGCTCGCCCTCGACTATATATCATGGCCACGTTCAAAAGTGCCTAGACAAAAACCATAACTGCCAAGTATCGACACTTTTAGGGGTGGTGAACTGCAATTATAGTAGCATCTCGCATATTTACGCAGGGGAAAAAGCTGATACAATGGTTGAAATGAAGATGAAACTAAAAGAGACGTTGCGACGGAGAAGAACGAGGAAACGGAATTTAAACAAGTAGGAAAATATGCAGGGATGACAAGAAATGAAATTGTTGGTAGTTGATTCGAAAAACACCAGCAATAACTGTTAGATGACAACTGTGCTTGTCAAACCGCACCAAGAAACCTTGGCTAGAACGTATAGGATTTAATGAACCACATTGAATGCCCTTGGTGCCAAAACTGCGCGTTTGGTGAAATGATCTTGAAACATGATGCACAAGGAGGGAGACGTGTATTTAGTCATTTCTAATAATAGATCGCCGATGAGAAGATCTTGATTTCCTGGCAACGAAATGGCCTGGCCAAGGAAATTGCGTGACAAGGAATACTTTCGCCTGTCAATCGAATTCTTTCGCCTGCCAATCGAATACTTTCGCCTGCCAATCGAATTCTTTCGCCTGTCAATCGAATTCTTTCGCCTGCCAATCGAATTCTTTCGCCTGCCAATCGAATACTTTCGCCTGTCAATCGAATATTTTCGCCTGCCAATCGAATATTTTCGTCTGCCAATCGAATATTTTCGCCTGCCAATCGAATATTTTCGTCTGCCAATCGAATACTTTCGCCTGCCAATCGAATACTTTCGCCTGCCAATCGAATTCTTTCGCCTGCCAATCGAATATTTTCGTCTGCCAATCGAATACTTTCGCCTGCCAATCGTGTCAAGCCAACCCTAAACACATAGGCAATCTCCCAAGAAGTTTTGTCGGGTGTCGCAATCATTACCAAGATTAGCCATGACTATGGATTAGCCAAACGGGGAAGAGGGATCTACAGATGTTCTGCCAAGTCTTGAAACACGTATGATAATATCGAACTTCGCAAGCCTTCATTCCTCTTCCCATATTTAATGGTACAAAGTTATGTCGAGCAAATGATTTTCTCTCGATTGTTTTGACGTTGTGCTTTGAGAACAACATTGTAGATAGGCGTTATGATTCTACAGCAAGACGAGCTGGGAAAAAATCCGCGAGACATTGCAGCCAACAACGGATTAACAGAGTGGAAATAGCATTAATGGGATGATCTCATGGGAAGTGAAAGAGGCAAAGAACTTCAAGCTTATGGTTTAAGACTGATATGGTACCAGTTATGTTAGTAATGGCTAAGAGGCAGCGCACAAAAACTAGAATGAGGTTATTGACCTTAATATAAATATGATAAAAATTCTCAGTTTGCGTTTGGTCTGCTATTAGGAATACTGAGAACAGTCAAAAGCAAGGGTGCATGCTTGTGGTTAACCTTAAATAACCAAACGTTGATACTGGCAAGATATCACTATTCAAGTTTCACATTAGAAAAAACAGAGAAAAACTGTCTTGTGACTTAAAAACCTCCCAGAATATTCCGATTAATAAAATATATTTGCGAAATTCGCATATTTGAATGATGAATGACATCTTTTGTATTGGAGGCGAGAGATAAAAAATAACACTAGGTTAGCACAAAGGTTAAAAAAAATCAGACTTATGAAATGTGGTTTTTGCAGTTATAAGGAAATTACTTCTAGCTAAAAACAAGTCTACAACAGCATTGTGAGACTAAATTGCAAACCAGTTTTTTCGAATTCACGTCATGCCTTGCCACCACGTTAACAGCGAAATCAATCCTTCTCATTCATCTGCAGCTGGTATTTACCAATCCATTAATAAAAACTTTCGTCATAGTTTTGGAATGTCGAAATAGAAATGTGACTATATTAGTTATCAAATCTCAGTTCATTTAAAAACAAAAGGTTGTAGACATAAAAAATCAATAAAACACGACCAGAAAGGCAGCTAAGTTGAACCAATTATAATTTGAAATATTAAAACAGAGCTTAATTCGAAAGTTTTGCATATTTGGGTCTCAATTTCATTTGACTGTAGCCAGTAGTATGACTTTAAGCGAAAGACTATAACTGGGACTTACTGTATGAGGTACAGGATCTCATTGCGATTTTCAAAAGCTAACAGTATCTGACATAACAGAGATGGAGGGGGTCCTTGAGGGCTACGGCCCCTTCTTTTTGCTAAAATGTGCTCTCTTCGCTTTTAATATGGCCCTGAATGGGAAGCAACTGAATGGGCAGCGCCCGCACCCCCTACTATGACTTCCGTTCGACGAAACTGTGAGTTTCCAAAAAGCGCCTGTCTGAGGGGCAAGTAAAGAAACTGCATTTCATTGCAGTTTTTTATTTTTCAAAGCAAATCAAAATTTAAGAGCAGTCTATAGGGAGAAAGTAAAACCACTGACATTTTGCAAAGAAATGTTTTAGGCAGAAGAGAAACCAAAAACAAAATCTGTATGAAACAAGATTCCCGTTATGTTGTTGAATAGGATTAAGAGGTTAAATTTAACGGAGTTCTAAATGCGTAGCGGAATTGTGGACACTCAAATTATGCTAATTGCAACAATGCGGACATGCATAGAATGTTTGACTGCATGAAATATTTGAAATCAAGTTACCTAAAAACACTTTGGTTAAATCTCTCCATAATAATGTAGAAACGAAATGAAACTTAACTCTTGCAAGTTTGAACAGAATTTAGAAAGAGTTAATGTTGTTAAGGTTACGGTAAACGTTTTCTGGATGAAAACATCATTTTTTCGATTTTTTCACATTCAACCAGCCGAACTTTCAAGGCACACAATGATACCAAGTTTGAAACAAACAGAAATTTTGAAAGTGGAAAAAATCCCATGTAAACGAAGGTTTCCATAATTTCTTTATCAAAACTTTTAGTTGAGGCCTGAAAATCTCGTGACCTGTTAAGCCGATTATTGTTGCTTTGCGGTTGTGGTCGCATGTCTCTTTTACAATAGAGCATGGCACATCCATATATCCAATGTACGGCCGTGTTTATTTAAACAGGCTTATTGATCTTAAATCTTCAAGTGACTTGACCCGGATTACACTGTGGTTTACGAGTGTATCTTGCAAGTGCGATCAGTAAAATCCCGTTTTCTCCGGACTCGAAATTCCTCTACATGCAGGTACGAAAAAGCTATTATGTACCCAAGGAACCGATCGAATGGCTCGAAAATTTGCACACGGCCAGGGCAGACGTTGGGCAAACAAAGTGTGTCTCAAAATTTTTTTATTTTCTCTGGTCCGTCTTTTATACCCAAATACAGCTGCGGGAGTGTGGAAAAATTATTTGCCAATTTTTGACAGGGTATAGTTTCAAGAAGAGGAGGAATTTAAAAAATCTGAGACACACTTTGGTAGCTTAGTACCTGCACTTCCTGCTGGTCTAAGTCAGATTTTGTTACCTCAAACGCAAAGGTACATAATAGCTTTTGAAGGTGGTACACTTTTTGACCAGTAAATTCGCATGGAAAATAACAGTTAACATTATTTGCCAATAATTTTTATCTGGCTAGATACGCCATAATCTTGTGCATCGAATGATATATAGTTTATCCAGATTCCTTGAGCCGTTTGGCCTTTAGGAAGGAAAAACCAATTTTCGTGTTCAAAACGTTTACCGTAACCTTAAGTTTTCGTCCTATTTTAAATAAAATAGTCTGATTCACTTTCAAGGCCTTTGAAAGTTTGCGGAACTTTAAATATGAAAACGACTCTATGAAAAATATCACTGTACCTCAAACACACAAAGAAGGACATATACACATGTAAGGACTGCACAGGACATATAATCTGACATTTGCAACAAATAACTGTGAAAGCCTTTAAAAAACTAAATTGCCCATGTAGCTTTCACAACACAATCATTACAAGACGCAAAGTGCAAAGTCTTTTCTGGAAGCTTCCATTGTCACTAAATCGCAGAGAAATCAAATTGATCCTCGCAAGGTCGATTAATCTCTAGCCAAAATGTGGCCAGTAACTGTTTTTTATCGTTTGAAGATACGTGCAGGTGGATATTGCAGGGCTTTAACTTGATAGGAAATGCTACCTCATACAAGCTTAAAGTTTTGCTCATATTTGTAATATAATACTCTGAAAAATTTCGCAAAGTTCTGCAGGCGAACTTGCTGACTGGATACGAAGAGCAACGCCAAGGCAGTGGGAGGACTGAATCAATGAGAGTTCGTAACATTTGTAAAAGGAACCTCTGGCCAAAGTCTAGTTTTAATAAATGCTTTTATAAAAGGTTGGTTTTTCTCTGAAAATTCATTATAGCTTAATGCCGATAGGCCTCGGTTGCAAGCTCTCTCAACTATTCTATGTGGGAACAAGACACGGTTCAAAACAGGAATGACTGAAAGATATCAGCTCGAACTTACCATAAGATCTCTTTCCTTGAAAAGTGCGTACATCTTTTTTACAACATCACATCTCGGAAGCTAAAATTGTTCAAAAATGATTTCTGATCAAAAATCGATTCATGGTTCAAAACGTGATTTAAATTGTGAAACAACAAAACTCTATTAGAAACAAGAAGATCCTGAGTTTTTGATGCTTTAAAGAAAGTTTATTGGTTGGTTGCTCTCGTTAAATGGTCTAATAGTGGACCACCTTTAAAATGCAATAAAAAATGCCTAAGAAAGCGTATTAGAAATAACCTTTCTTTTCTTATTGAATCAAAGGTCCGCACCAAACAGTCTCCATAACCGCGCGAAGGATTGTGGGGCTGTTTTGTGGGGATTCAAGAATGGCCTAATGCATCGGTCTTACCCAAGAATAACAGAAAAATATCAAATTCATATCTAAACATTGAAACGAAAGCACTGGTTTTTGGAAAACGATAGTAGATCTCAAATTCAGCTAAAGAGTTTAGCAAACTTTTGATAATACAAGGCGGAGCTTGTGTGCCTAACCATTAATATTGCATCAAATTTCAGTTAATAAGCGGCAAAATCAGTTTTTTGTTAGCGGATGGTATTAGTAGCTTGAGGCCATTTGGAGTGCAGCAATTCACAACGCAGGCTTGCTTGAAGCCATTTGGAGTGCAGAAATTCACAACGCAGGCTTGCTTGCACTGCAAAAACACAAATGGTCCTAAGTTTTCAATTTCACAGGATATCAGACACACTCAGACACACCGAAGAAGCAGACACAGAAGGCGTTTACGTAAATAATTCAAAATTTTGAGCGAGAAAAAACTACCCAGGGTTATCTGTACTGACATTGTTTTGATCAATGTAGTCTTATCAAGCATTTCCAGGGTGGTCATTGGGATCCCTGATATATCTAGCCACAGTCACGATAAGAAAAAACCAAATTTTATGAAAAGTTTGTGAGAATCTGTAGACATATCAGGATTCTAACCAGTATGTTATGATACTTGGTTTTGCAAAAAAAAGCTGCAAGCACCTGTATCTTATTGTTTAAGTATCAGCATGATGTCAGTTCATTCCCGATTTTAAGAAAATCGAACGTGTTTCTGGAGACAAACCAGGCAACTCAAATAAGGTTTACATTTTGAACAAGGAACTTAAGCGAAAGAACCTTAACACATAATTCTAGATGAAATCACAACAATACATGTATGTCTCATTAGTTACCTTGTCTGTTCCAAACAAATCTGTGAGCTCTTGTGATAAAGCCATATCTCGAGAAAAACCTGAAAAATAAGGTTATGAATTAGGAGAAAATCGTTAATAAAGATACACTATATGTTTAAAGGTTTTATAACATCTTCCCGATCGTCTGATGATTGCACTGGGTGTGAAACCCAGGAAGATAGGGCGTGTGACATCTTAAAAACATATTGCTAAGCAGAGCAAAGTCAGGTGAATCTATCCCAATTCAACGAGATATAGCCGAATAGCCATTGGCTCTTTTCCTGTCAAATAATTTAATTTTGCCAAGCAAATCTAAATGGCCAAATGTATTTTGGTGACGTCATCGCCTGACAACTCTCACAGGTCTAGGCCTAGCAATGATACGAAATTCAAATGACGCAACTGAATTAAAAACCAAAAATGAAAAATGGCTTAGCAGTGTATGCTAGAGTATCATTTTGGCGTTTTAATCGATATACAACCAAAGTTCACCAAATTGCACCAAGCTGATTTTTTTATACAGTGAAAAAACATTCATAAGATGTTCCTAGGACTTTTCAAATGCATAGCCTGGTCTTCATAAAAGGCAGATTATCTAGCCTACGAAACCTAAACATTATCAAGATACAAGTAACATGGTAGATACGTCTATGTAATGTCTTCCATTGTTGCAGCCAATAGCCTTGTATACAAAACAGGCCTTGGAAACGAATTGTTGTGCATTTCAGTCGAAATAGGAAAAAGTCAGATCTCACAAGACGAAGGACGAGTTCAGTACTGATTCGCGGGCTAAAAACAGGCAAACAAGAATTTGGGACTCAAGTGAGAAGGAGACAGGTTAGTCACAGCAAACATGACCTATCAGAGTGGTATATCATTTTCGATAAGACTCGTATTATAAAATATTAATATCTCCGTTGTTAGGACTAGACATAACAGTCTATAAATTGTTTCAAACCTGTTTTTTTCTTTGGTTTGTCTGTCTGCTCTGATGACGCTGACGACTTCAACTTCTTCGATTTTGCTTTTGAGTTCTATCACGAATAAAAGACTTACAGAATTCAGCAGCTGGATTATCTTTATAACACATTCGCATTTGAGAAAAACGATTGGAAAATGGAAGTACAAATTACATCCACGAGTTGTCAACTATGATATTTTTCTCAAAACTATTTCATCGCTATTTTTAATTTCATATACTTTTTGAAGATGTCACCCGGCTTGCTGTTACAAAATCCCGAGGAAATAGCCCCGGCATTTGGAATGAAGCTTTTACGTCACCAGCTCATCAGCGCCGTCGAACAGTTTACAAGCAGTGATGAGACCGGCTTGTAAATATTAAACTTTTACCCGTTATGAATTAAGTTTTAATATCTTTACCCAAAAAGGCCTATAGATTGATTAATATTTTAGCTAAGGATCAGACAAGCTCGTTTAAAAGATAGAGGAATACTCATATTGAGGATTGTTTAGCTTACATCGCCTGGTTACCTCGACTACGCCAATGCCACTGATACGGAAATTCCATGTCCTAAATTTGGAATGAGCGTCATAATGTTTCCTACCAACTACAATCCTTGCCTAAAAACATTACAACAAAACGATATTCCAGCTATAATACTGACATTGTTGAACACCACAATATTCAAGTTTAAATACTGACTTTGCTGAACACCACGATATTCCAGTCTAATACTGACATTGTTGAACACCACAATATTCAAGTTTAAATACTGACTTTGTTGTAAACCCACGATATTCCAGCTATAATACTGACATTGTTGAACACCACAATATTCAAGTTTAAATACTGACTTTGCTGAACACCACGATATTCCAGCTATAATACTGACATTGTTGAACACCACAATATTCAAGTTTAAATACTGACTTTGTTGTAAACCCACGATATTCCAGCTATAATACTGACATTGTTGAACACCACAATATTCAAGTTTAAATACTGACTTTGCTGAACACCACGATATTCCAGTCTAATACTGACATTGTTGAACACCACAATATTCAAGTTTAAATACTGACTTTGTTGTAAACCCACGATATTCCAGCTATAATACTGACATTGTTGAACACCACAATATTCAAGTTTAAATACTGACTTTGCTGAACACCACGATATTCCAGTCTAATACTGACATTGTTGAACACCACAATATTCAAGTTTCAATACTGACTTTGTTGTAAACCCACGATATTCAAGTTTCAATACTGACTTTAATGAGCACCATGATATTCCAGTCTAATACTGACTTTCTTGAACACCACGATATTCCAATTTTAATACTAGCTTTATTGAGCAACACGATAATTCAGACTCGGCTTTACACGCTAATACGGCCATCTCCTTATCCTGTGTTTAATATTGAAGATATTTTTCGAACCTATGCTAGTTCTATATTCAGCCTCAACCAAAGAATATCAAAATTTAGAAGTCGTCTTTTTCTTTAGAGTCTTTAATTCGGTCAATATACAAACATTAGAAAAATATTTTTTGACATTTGAAATCTTTATCTACGCGGAGGAATAGTGGTCGCCGATTGCCCAAACGAGGAATGCGAATGAATAAGTATATTAGCCAGCTTAAGGGGTCAGACGTAAAGCAGACTGATATTTTATCAGATATTTGTCGCCATTTGAGTTGGCTCATTGACATAGACAATGTTTTCTCCATTTGACAACATTACCAAGACTATTGACAGAATTACTCCTATGGCAATACCTGGTAACAAAATTCACAGAAGAAAGTAAAATTTCACATCCTGATATGAATCCACATCGATTGTAGCAAAACCATCATCTTCAAAAGCACTTTGTTTTGCATGATATACAACTGAGTTTAAATAATCATAATTCAATAAAATATTCTTACCCTGACTGGTGAGGCATGTCGTTTCCGGGCCACTGGATTTTTCGCTTTTGGCTTTGACTTCTGAAAGGAAAAAAAATATAATATACAAATATGGTTACGACATTTTTAGGGAAGCACGAAAAAATAAACTGAGGAACGTACAGAGAAACTCCTACAGAAAAACTTCAACAAGAGAGGGCATTCAGATCTTACAATAGCATTTTTGGCAACAGAGAAGGTAAAAGTCACCCCGGTCTTAACTAGCTCTTTAATTTCAGCTTTGATCACTACATCTTTTTAAATGGCCTTTCGGTTGTGATCAAGAAATTCAAAATAGCGCAAAATGAAGGTATTTTGAAGCCTTATTTTTGTTTCCAAATACTAAAGATGAGCTCGTGTCCCAGTCAAATCTGCAACTTCAGATTCTCACTTTTCGTTGCTCTGTTTCTTGGTTAAAAATAGTGAACATTCCAAAAAAGGATTAAGCTTATCAAGCAACTTCTCTCAATACGGTTTTGCAAGCGTTATTATTAAATATAAAAAATATCATCAAACAGGTACCTTAATTTCTTCATAACTGGAACTTGATTCGTCTGATTCTGTGTTATCTTGTTCTTCTCCCGAGGAATCGTCCGAACCATCTGATTTATTCTGATTTGCATCTTCTATCTCCTTCATTAAAATTTCATCAATTTCTTTTTTCCTGCAAGAGAGCAGAAGTGTCAGGATTTTGCTTTTTGAGAGCTTTCTATGCTTTGGTTTTGTCCTTTTGCTTAGGCCATTGGGTTAACGGATACATAGAGCAGAATTTTGGAATGCTTCCTCAAATCAGCTATTCATAGGAGCCAAACTGCAAAAATGCATTAATGCTATTTATCTTTGCGAACTGGCTACAACAAAAAGTGGGATTCGAACACTCCAATACAATCTATTTATCATCTGTTAGGGTATGCATCATTCAGCCAGTGCCTTTCACTTTAACATTGAACAATCATACATTGTTTGTCTTAATCACTCAATACGTAGCTGCAATATGCTGTAATTATAATTTTTCTTTGCTGTTACTGCTTAGTGTTTTGACTCTTTAAATTCTTTGTATTTCTAAATTTTGTACGTCAGAGCATTGCTATAACTTCTGTCATCTGAAATCTCTGTCGAGTTTTTTCTTATCTTTTTCCAAATACTTAATGCGTTAAATTCCAATCATAAAATTTTGTTGAATTTTATAAAAATTGGCAAACAAGCTAGATAGAAAAACCATTGTGCATGAATATCAATCCCAATTAGGAAGGGCTAAAGTTGTCCAAACCAAACAGCAACAAGGAACATAGTATTGCAGTTAACCCATCAAAACAGCATTTGGTGCATGTTCAAACTTCAGAAAAACAAAGCCTCTTATCTGCTGGTTATCAAACTAGCTCGTTTTATTCTTAAAAAACAGCAGCAAAAATGAAGAACATTAAAAAATGATTACAGATCACAAAAATTTCCTGTTAGACGACAAAAAAATGGAAATGGAAAACGATTTGAGAAACAATTTCATTAGCTTGAATTTTTCAAAAGCAAAGGTATCAAGTAGTAAAAAAGACAAAATACCGGTCTGTCAATTCTATGTTAAATTTCTGCTCAAGTTGCTTTCTCACTTTTTTTGAGGTAAGCTGAGTCAAATCAGCACCAACTAAAATTTCTGAAATGTAAAAAACAACAGAATACATTAAGTACAGAATTTTGGACGAGAGATTTTGGACAAGGAACTTGATAGATATATTTTAAGATAGTTCAGTGAAAAAATCATCTGTCTTCTCTTTACTTGCAAATAAAATCAGGTCTCTCAGCAGGATGTGCACAGTAGCACTCCCTGAAGCATGCAGTCACTTGCCTGGACCAGGTTAAGAGAAGTAAACCGGCACAAGACAGAGGCAGAGCCTGAAGATTATTCAGTTTCAATAATTGTAAAACGTAAGACATTGCTTCAAAAGGCTAAGGTGGTTGAAAATACTGCCTTAAAACATCAAATGCCCAACTTGTCCCAAGTTTCCATTATGATTTGATCTTATAGGCATGTGTAGAAGCTGAAACATCAATTCAATTTCTGTTTTAGCAATTCAACATTTGTTTAATGGTTGGATGGCAGAAAAGGACGGGAAATACTTTGCAAATTTTGTCAATAAAAGCAATTTTGTTCAAGATACTTCAAAGTTAGTCATGATTGTCAGCTTTGAGGAATTTTCAAACTTTTTGCAAGTAGCAAGTCCCAACCAATTTTAAAGTTGAAAGAACATTCAACACAGTCATTCATATTCTTCCGAGCACCTGATTGCCAATCAAACTTCATAAACGGAAGATGAAGTTGATGAATTGGAATGCATAACGCTGAAATATGCTTTACGTAAAAATGTCAATATGTTTACATGGTTGATGATGTTTGCATAATGTTAAAAATGTTAGCATTTATCTATAGATCACCATCCATTAACCAGTTACAATGGAATATGTTACAATGTAAAAGTAAAAGATTACCATATTTTGCCATGTATAAGATGCATCATTGCATAAGACGCACCCTTACTTCCATGTTTGAATTTTGAAGAAATAGTTTTTACTGTGTCTTACCATGTATAAGATGCACCTCCTTTTCTTAGTTATTATAAAGCATCTTTATTCAATTGAAATAATAAACTATTATTTCAGTGAAAGAATAAGTTATTATAAAGCATGTATATTTCAGTTATCTTATTAACATGGCTGGAGAATTTTGAAGTTTTTACTAAATTTCCGGTAAAGTGTGATTATGCAAATTGGGAGAGCAGCTGCTCCAAGTGTCATAATATTTTGTCTATAAAAAGATAACTTGCCTTTAAAAAGAAATGATGGGACAGTCAATTTTACCATATATAAGCTGCAGTCTCAAATGAAGCCAATAATGATTTGAAAAAAGTGCGTCTTATGCACAGCGAGATATGGTAGTGGGTAATGTTGTTATATGACGGATAAAATGATAGTCTGCTCTATGTAAGATTTCTATGAATAACTATGTATGGTTATCATGATTATATAATGAATTGTTTGAATGACAAATATTGGTTATAGCAAGACAAAAAAATTCTATGTTTAAAATTAACTTATTATTGCAAAAAAGTGGAGGGGGCTTCTAGCCAAATGGCTTTAAGCATCAGTTGCAAGAGTCTGTGTGATCCTACACTTATACAAAGTAGGCCGACCAAGTCCAGGTGTGAAACCTTCCATAGGAGACATGTTGATGTCACGTGTAGGATCGAGACATGACATCAGTGAGGGCACATCTTAAAACAAACTTTATTCAAATTATATGGAAAAATTGACAGTTCTGAAACACGTGGCATTTTCTGATAACTTTTGCCCACCCAAACCAGGTTTGTTGGCTCACAGAAGTCTACTGTTTCTGACCCAAGTTCTGTGCACTTGAAATACTGTAAAAGAAAGCTAATGAACTTTTACTGATCCATACTTTCTTCAATTTTGCATGAAACATATCCATTCATCTCAAGGACATTCTTCTCTCACATAATAGATTGTTGACAATGGTGGCATATTTACTGAAACAATATTCTGGCAGAATGTAAGTGTTGACCAATAAGATCAGGCAATAAGATCAGGCATAAGATCATGGCTGTTTAAGGCAAGCAATAGCCTCTCTCGCCTCCACACTCCCTTTGCAACCTGTGACAAGCTGTGAATTGCCCTCCTAACTAAAGAGTCTGTTCTTTTGAATCTTTGTGCAAAGGGGATCCCTGAGCCATGGTTTAAGCTTATATAAATTGATCAGAGTAAAACAGCATACTCCTTGACTTCAAGACTATTTAAAGGCAAGCAATAGATACTAAAGGGGCTTAAGCCATCTGTTGATTGCCTTTAAAGCTGACTTAGCTTGCCTTAGAATTTAGGGGACGGATTCACAGCTCACCTAAAAAATACAAATGACCTGTAAGATGGCAAAAAATAGAATCATCCACTAGCAAAATCCCATCATTTGAAAAAAAAATTGAGCAGGGTAAATAAATTAGAGTCTTCAAGAACAGAGCTAGCCAATCATCCATTTTTTTCACCACTGCTCAAATCCAGCCAATTGTTTTCATTTTATAAAGAGGCCAGTAAAGACGAAAAAGCCAATAAAAATTGAGGGAATTAGATGGCTAGGGAACTGGCATTAGCTTTTGTGTTCAGAGCTGCTTCTCCTCCGTATTACTAGATGTACAATCAGAAAAGTTGCTTAATTCTTTTGGCTAAAGAAGTGCCTGGTCAAAGAAAAGGGAATGAGGATGTTTTGAGTTTGACAGGAATGAGAATGGTGCAGGGCTTTCAATGGGGTGCGTGCGATAGCGGGCACGGGCCTGAGGTTATATTTGATAGCGATTAGTCACCAGTTTTAAAATTAGTCCCAGAGATAAGCAATGAAACGTTTCACTCATTTTTGCCCTGATTGAATCTGCTTATGTTGGTTGTACTCCAAGAAAACCGAATTCAACCGAATTTTGAAAATGGGTACGACAGAGTTTTAGATATACTCTCTTGCTATGCATAATTGTATGAAGCACTTCAATAATGACAATTTTTGCATTCAGTGTTAACATTTTGTGGCACCGTTTTTTCCCCACAGCTTTGGATAGGAGATGCAAGCATTACTGTTGCATCTGATTCAATGCTATTTTCTCTTCAGATTATCATTGTCTTTGACGCTATACCATTGGCTGGTTGAAAATGTAAACAAACAATCTGATTGGCTAAAAATATTTTTCATCCTTGTTTTCAGCCGCACAAAAATTTTATCTGTGTTATTTGCAAATGCACAATTTTCATGGACATGCAACAGATCCCCTGCTCTTTCAAAAATTCCAATCAGTGGCGTACCCAGTGGGGGGAATGGGGGAGTCAGGAACCCCCCCACTTTTCTAGTGGTCCTAGAGATTTGTCCAAAAACGATGTAAAACTCATTAGGGAAGGGGTAGTATACTGTATGCTTTTGTCAATAACAATTGTAAAATGATTTGCTATCTACCATAGTTAACATGAATCAAATAATGAAGGAAAATTTGCAAAAGGGCAATTCCCTGCATTTGCGAGTGTTTGAAGGGTGTTTGCGAGTGTTGGTCCAAAAAATTTCCTGGGGGCTATGCCCCAGACTGCTGCAGCCCTGGGTACGCCACTGATTCCAATCTGGGACCCTGAGGTTTTCAAACAAATTGTCTTTGCTTTAACCTGAGCAGTGGTCTAGTAATCAAGGAACTGATGCTTAAACTAGATTCTGCAGTGAACCAAGACGTTCTGCTTGAAATGTAGTCTGCTATGCATATAACATCACTCCTATCAAAGTGAAGACACAGAGGGCCTTTTTGAACATACTAACTAGGGGGCAATGCAGCCCCTGCAGTCCCAATGACATTATATTGCTTTGAACAATATGCTATTGTCCTTCTCCTAAAATAAGCAAAAGTTTGTCCCCGCAGCTTATTTCCCTTAGAATAGGCTATGAAGACACACGTGGTTTAGGAACCAAGCCTGGCATACACTCTTTGCTGTTGAAAAAACCCTTTCCCGCAGGTCAATACTTTAAGTAATCGATAGACATTTGAAAGTGTCTCACCCTTTATTTCCTTTCTAATAGCTTTAGCATTTATTTCAGACATTTTCTTCAGAGAAAGAGATTCTTCCACTGCAAGCAAAATTTATTGCTCGTATTCGTCTCTGAAAATGAAACCGTAACCTGAAACGAGGCATTCAGATTCACTTCATTCAAAAATCAAAGTGGCGGGAAGGGAAGAAATGGCTCCCAGCTCATAAACATTGAACATGACTTGCATTTTCAAATGCAATGCATGAGCAGAATGACAAATTCAGAAAGTTTAATTTGATCCCAGATAATGTCAAAAATTACTAAACCGCCTGACCTGAAATCGGTCGCAGCAGCTAAGGGGAAGGCCGCCCAGTATGTGAGCAGCAAAGAAACGAATAGTTTGGTTAAGAAGGCAATTCTTGAAGAGCTCAATTCGCACTTCTTGTCAATAAAGCCGGAAAAGATTCATCGTGCCTCAGGAAAAGGACGAGGAAAAATTCATGGTAGGATTGCAGATGATCGCAACCCGTATCATGAAGATTCAGCCTTTGTGAAGAAAAAGGGTATTCATGTATTTATATATTTTCAAGCTACAAGTTTTGCTTACCACAATTTTTTATCCAAAAATTGGATTATTACCATCTTACCAGATTATCTAGCCATGGTATTTAGGGCCATGCAGTCACAAAGCTTTCTATTTAATATGTGATCCTAGAATTTTCAGATTATTTTGTCTGACATGAATCGTGATGATTGTTTTATAGTGATAATTTAATTTTGTACCTATGAAGAACCAAACCAATATAATATTCTGTACTGTGAGGATTTCATTTCTGTTAAGCTCTACAGAAATCTGTCATTAAAGTCTGTGATTTTACCTAGAACAAAGTGTCAGAGAAAAAAATGTTGAAAGGATCACTTTGTCCATCAATTTCTAGTTTTCTTTCATAATTTTGCAGATGCAAAAACTTTTGTAGAGAGGCATGGAGAAATAGCATCAAATGAGATGGCAAATGCATCAAAAATCCCCAGGTACAGTAAAGGCCTAATGCTTTGTATGCAATACAGTTGAGCGCTATCAAGGCTTATTGTTTTAAGAATTATGAATCTTCATAAATATTAATCTAAATATCTCTTGGTGTCCTTTGAAAATTTAAAGCATTGATTGCTTTCTGTATTAATGAATTTAAAAGATGTTGCAAGCTTAATATTTCTGCCAAAAAATAGGTATTTTTGCAAGGTATGTATTAAAACATATTTTTGCCATACGCAGTAGCAGTCTATGTTATGTTAGACATGGAAATATTCAAATTCTTTCCCTTGCAATACCCTATTGGGATTCCCTTATTACCAAAATTTTATTAAAAGTAATTTTTTTATTCAAATTTCATTCATTTTTGCAGACCAATAGGAAGAACTTTAGAGAAATATGAAAAAGATAAAAAATTGTCAAGAGCAAAAAAAGATGCCAGCCCTACAAACATACCAGATTATGACTGGAATAAAAAAGGAAGAGTTGTTGAGTTGAAGACAAGGTAAATTCTCTTCAAGTATGGCTGATTTTGGAAGCAGAATTTCTCTAAACAGATTGCTAGAATCAACTTCAAACCTGCCTGTTCTGTACCACAAGCTGTATACAGCTATGCTAATGTGACAAAATAATCGGGCACTAAAGAACAGGTCATTAGAGTAATTTTCATAATTTTTGTTAGTAATTATTCCTCAGGCCTTGCCCGGAAAGGCGCTCGATCGAGCGCGCGCGCCTAAAGCGCACCCAAAAAAAGCCTTGGAGAGCGATTTGTAGAGCCCCTCAAAACAATAAAACAATATTAACGCGGAGCAAAATAAATTTTTGGAATTTGTTAAATCAACTTGATCAAGCATAAACAATCTTCCCAACAGACCACAATATTATGATTTGCGTAAGATTACCCCTTGGGAAAAAATTCAGCAAATTCGACGTTGGGTTTTCGATATCATTTTTAATCTGAAAACCCTCTAATAACCATCAAGGACACAGGCCATCAAGCCTAAGCGTATTCTCCGGCAGATTTATTTGATTTTCGAAAAAGCATAAATTTATATTGAAGTATATATTATTTTCTGTTTTTTTAATAACTTAAAATCGCCTGTGCAAATCAGCGATCACGTTTCCGTCCAAATTATCGCGTTGCTTTTCATTTTTCATTTGCTTTTGCGAGTAGTAGATGTTTTAGCGTTTCTTATAGAATGGATAACATGAAAAAAGGAAACAAAATTAAATGTTTGATTTAAAGCCATGCGTTTTGATGAAGCAATATGTGAAGCTGAGCATAACAGTAGTGAAACTGACACTGATAAAAGCTCATCGAATGATGGCAACTTACATATCTAGAAAAATCTGAACAATTTTGTGACTTTGTTTTATTATATTTCTATATTTATATTAACATAGTGTTTGTTGTATGTTTTGTTATATCATATTATGGTGCTTTTTGGGTATCACTGCTTTCTGGTACATTCTTCCGAAGCTTTCGATTTGAAGCTCTCAATCTCCTAAAGCTCTCGAAGGATGCTCTCAAAGACATTTACTTAGAGGTGCGAAATAGAGCGCCTAGAGTTTCTAAGGGGCTCTTTTTATGGAGCACCTTCATTTTTCTTAGAGCAAGGCCTGATTCCTATGAACAACAACATATCAGGTCAGTTTGTAAGGTACTCCCTGTAGTACAAAATATCAGGTAGTAACCACAATGTGAACCAAATGTATATCTTCATGCAGATCATTTAATAATTTTGATGTAAAATGTTGCTATTGATTGATTTGATTTGTTTGTTGTGATGTAGAAGCTCCTTTTCCCTACTTAACAGGTTTTAGAAATGTTAAAAAGTAGCTCCTCACCTTTAAAACCTAAGTTAGGCAAAATGAATTCTTCGTTTTAACCTATCTAGGAAAACCATGCACAAAGTGACCTGATGTTTCCAGTGAGAACAATTCATTTTAAAAATTGTTATAATTTGCTCTTTCATATTGATCTTAAATATCTATTCTAGATATCTTGCCAGGAAATATTTACATATTTGGTTGAAGAAAGTGTATGGGAGAATAGCACCATCAGCAGCAAGGTAATTTCTGTTTCAAAGTGTTATCATAGAAATAATGCTAAAGCTATTTCACATTATCAGTGAGTTATAGCTTATGTCAAGCTTATTTATTATGTAACAGCTTTTCTTAACTTTTTACTTATGTCTGTAATGTGCCTGTCCTGGCACATGCCTGCTGCTTTCCAAGTGTGCAAAATATCACACACCCTCGTTTTGTAAAGCAAAATTTTTACTGGCTAGTTTTGCGGATTTTTCTGATGAGTTTAAATCTTTATCCAACTTTTACTTTTTCTAAACGTTACAAAATTACTTGATGCTTTGTCAAGACTACTGAATAAAAATCAAATCCCAAAATAGTCATAAAATTTCTCTATTTTTTGGATTCACCAGTTACTTTGACCCCTACAAGAATATTTCAAATTTGAAATTCTAATTAAAAAAACTATAAAAGAGGCCTTTGTTTGAAAAATAGCAAATTTTTGTTTTTTAATTACGGCAACTGCCTCTGAAAGAAAAAAGGCATTTCAAAAGAGCTCGAATTTAGGCAAAATACAAAATTGATCCTGCCGAGAACTGGGGGGGGGGATGTGTCTGTTGCCCCAGTCCCCCGGGTCTATTGCTGGTCTCTTTGTTGTGCTAGGAATTTCTGCTTAGATCATCAACAATTACCCTAAATTCTTGCAAAGAAAATTTCACAAGCTATCACACACCTATATGTCTTCAAACATGTGGTAGCCGGCTTGCCTACTATATTTTCCCAACTGTTACGACAAAAATGTCTTTCTTTTCAGGATGCACTTTGAGAAAAAGTTGATAAAGAAAGCATTTGAAAGTCTAGAAGACTTATGGTGGAACAGTAGAAAGGGTTGGAAACTTAACATCAGAGCTGAATATCATGATAGGTTTGGCGTTTCTATTCTATTTCTATTCGTTTCTATACTTCTATTCAGTTTCACATTTGTATACTGTAATTGCTTCTTTAGCCCATCCGTTTCTACTTAGGTGCTTTAGTCACAAAAGCTTGATTTTTTTAAAATTTGTTGTACAGATTTTCAGATCTGTCCATTTTTATATAAGCAGGCAATGAATGATCATGAGCAAAGTTTGAGGAGGCTCATGATAGGATAATGGAGATGAAATTTGAAATAAGTAAGGTTTGACAAATTGTTTATCATTTAAAGTTTATCATGAATAACGTGGTAAGTTTTTAATTTTCTTTTATGTTTTGTTTCACAAATTTTTATTTTTTCCTAGGTATAGATTGTGGAAAATTCATTTTAAAACATGGAAAATGTATCTTCTGAATCAAAAGGAGAAGAAAGTTAAAGTAGCGCTAGCCAAGAAATTTGGTATTCCTTTTATCACTGAATACATTTTTCTTGACTTTTTTATTGAAATTATTGAAAAGACTGTAATCAAAGAAAGCTTTTTGAGATTCCTATTCTATAAATATTGCTTTTTGTTACAACCAAAACTAAATATGTATGCTATATTCCCAATAAATTACCTGAGACTTTGTTTGCAGTCAATTCTAAATTAGAATATTGATTAGTACCATAAAAGCTTTATGAAGCCTCCTTTTGTTGTCAAACGAGGATAACATGCACATTTAGTGTGATAATAAGATAGTGTGCATTAAATACGGCCCATCTAAAGACTTCCTTGTGCACCTAAGAAGTCTGTCAAAGTTTGTTTAGAAGACGTCCTAGAGTTATCAATTGATCCTGGTGATTCTGATGAAGATAAGGACATTATTATTGATTAATTAGACTTTTGAAGCTGCTCGCGAAGTTTTCTGAGAACATTTGTATGATATTTTAATAATGAAGAAATAGACAAGAGCATTCAAAAAACATTTTTTACTTCAAATTTTTAATAAGCCCCCCTCTCTAATAACCCCCCTCTTTCTAATAAGCCCTTTCTCTTTTAAGCCCCCCCCTTAAGGTCTGAAAAAAATAAATTGGCCCCTTGGGTGCTTAAAAAAGCCTTTATGGTATACATTTAATAAAATGAAGAATATGCTAAAATCTTTTATATCAATCATAGATGAAATGAACAGTCAAAGACGATGTTTTAAGGCTGTCAAGAGCTACTGTCTTTACAGAAAAAGCATCAAAAAGGAACAACAGAAAGCAGATCATTTTCATAATCATGCTGTCACAAGGTACCTGAGTTTTTGCTCTGTAGTTTTAGAATCTTATGGCATTTCTGTGCATTTCTATTAATTTTTTGATAATCAGTTAAAAACAAAAAAGAAATGTAATGAAAATTTGCTTTCTATTCCACCTATTTTATTTGTGCTTTGACCAGTGAATTTTGTGTCACATTAGAGTGAAAATATTGCATTCTGTATCCTGCCAGAAATTCATGCTTGCAGCAGGATTTATTGTCTTCAGAAAAAGCTATTTGCAAGTTATTTTTTATTATCTTGTAGTAAATTATCAGAATTTTCATTTTAATTTAGTCTGGTAAATAAAAAAAGATTATGAAATATTGTGTTGGATAATTTGCATTCAGTAGTTCATAATTTGTGCCATTATGTCCATAAGTAAAACAAGTCAATAAAGCTAGTGAATTTATATTGCTTATATTCTTTTTTTAGTTTTAGCTGTGCCTTTTAATTATCTTTTTTATAGATTTGCAAGTCTATTTTAAATCCTTGATGCCTTTCAAAGTCTCAAGAATCTTGCAAAAAGTATTTTGTTCTTTATAATATGAGGATGTTAATTGTATGTGGATATCTTGCAATTTATCGCCAGGCTTGCTTTTACTCAATGGTTTGCACGGCTTCAGCTGGCAAGGCAGAACATGGCCATGGAGATGCAAGCATTGTCCTTTTGGGCTTACAGATTAAAATTTAAGGTGCACAGTTTTTATCTATTGAAGTCTTGCCCTAATTTAGAAAATTTTTGGAGTTTTTTTAAAGCGATTTTATTTGTTCATAGAGTTTATTCTTTATGCCTGATAAAAGGAAACCAAAAATTTTTCTTTCTTCCTTATCGCATAACATTTTTCAGCTTTTCTATTATTGGCACATCTGTGATTTAATGAAGGTTTGTTAAATGTTGAGGTACTCAAGAATTTGTATTTTGACAGTATGACAGGTCACATTTTACATGAATTAACTGAAAAAAATATTGACATCAAAAGAAGGTGAAAACCATTTTGGTCCCTTTTAACGTCAAAATATTTAAGGGTGTGAAATTTTCTTTTATTTAGAGTTGAAAAATTACTTGTCAGTTGTGAGTTAAGAAGTTGGCAAAGCAATTTCAATAACCTGACTCCATTTTAATGTAGAAATACTGCTACCGCTTTGAGGTGCATCAAACGGCAGTATACTCAGATCAAAAACGCTGCTAAAATGATATTAATAATTATTAATTTTTACGTTTGCTGTGATGCAAAGAAATGCTTAATTTTCTCCTCTAGATATTTGAAGAATGGAAAATCCGCAAGCTAGAAAAAGTGTCAGAGAACGAGAAACTGGCTATAGCTAGCAGACACAACAGCAACAAAATAAATAAGAGAAGCTTTGATGCTTTGAAGTCTTATGTATCTTATAGGAGGCAAAATAATTCTATTAAAGGTACAAGTTTGCTATTAAATAAGTCGACACTCCGTATGTGTTTTTAAAGCGTGTCATCGTGTTTATAGTATAATTATCGCTTGAATATATGTTTTTTATTTGTATTGATGTTTATTTACAGGATTCGCAACTAGGCAATATGAACAAAGTTTAAAAAGGTCAACAATGAAAAAGTGGTATTTTCAACTACAACGTCAAATCGAAATCAAAGAACTTGAAGACCGGATCCATTACACATCAACAAAATTCGTTAAAAGGGCCTATTTTATTCGTTGGAAGACTTGTATCCTTCAAAATAATTTTCGGAGATTAAACGTACAATGCCTGCCAAAAACTTGAAACCCTGAAGTTAGTTTACACTACGGTAAAATTCAGCCATCCCCCTTCTCCCCCACGGAACAATGTTAGTTTACTATAAAACGGGTAAGAGAATTAGAAACTACCTTTTTTTAATTTCTTTTATGATATTTGTTTTAAACTATCAACATTGCTCTAAGAGGAAGGGGACAGAAGTAGTAATTTTTCAGTTGCTTCATGTTTCTCGGGCGCGGAAGTAATAATTCAATGAAAATTGCTAGTTGTTCCAACTACTTTTGGCACGCATTGTACCTCTAGACTTCATTTTAGGCTTGATTAAAGTTCTTAGAATCCTTTACTTTGTTCTCCACCGATATTTTCTAAGTTTTAATAATAATTGGATTGAAGAAACGCCTAGAAATTTCGTTAATAGTTCAGTAAAATTTATGTAACCGTTGAATTTTGTTTAAGGAAGCTGCATGCCAACCAGAGGGGTAATTTTGTTTTTTATTTGGAATTTCGAAATCTTTTGAGAGTTTATTTTCTCTAGTGAATTTTCTGCTGGATGCCCTTTATCCAGTTCACTGTAGTG